ACATGAATCACAGAAGAGAAGGCCAGCTTAGTCAGCACCCACTCCTGGTGTCTCAGCCCTCTAGACACACTTCACACTCCACTCTACTGACCGGGTGGATAGAAGGCACCATCCTGGGTGTCTTATCATAGGACCACTGGCTATTAGAACCGCAGATGTGCTTAGAGATCACCAGGTCCTGGACCTTTCCCTGACACCCACATGAGTCAGGGCTGTTGAATGTGAGGGTGCAGGTTGTGCCTTGTCCAAGGACACCTGGCTGAGGAGCTGAAATCGAGCCAATGTTCTGTCTGCCAAGATGTGTGTCTGCAAAATGCTGTATCTGTCCAGAGGGTTCTGCAGACTGCACTGTCTCCTAATGTGTGCTCAGGCTCTGGAGTGGCAGGCAGTTGGGTCAGGAGCCCTGGTAGTTCACACCTGGGGAGGTCACCTTCCCAAAGGTCATTCTTGCCCAGGATGGGCTTTGGGCACCTGCCTATAGAGGCAGGCCTGTCAAGTATTCCCTGACTCTATCCCCTGGGCTCTGCAGAGCTGTTGTGTAGGGTGGAGCTCTAGACCCACCATGGGGGCTCAGATTCCCAGCTCACCTCTGCCTCTTGGACTGTGGACTTGGGCAGCTCACTTCCCCTCTTCTGGCCTCACTTTCCTGATCTGTAATGTGGACCAGCTGATCATAGTGGTCACTTAAGCGCCGACAGCCTGTTTCCTGCCTAAGCCTCTATTTTCTAGAGGCTGATAATAAGGAGGGTTAAGAGGTCCAGAATTTCTTGAGGGCCTCCCAGGGACCTGGCTCTGTGCAAAGTGTGGACATGGATGATCTGACTCCCACAGCAACTCCCTGAGGGGCGCACTGATACTGTTCTACATTTTATAGAAGTAAACAGGCCAGAAGTTAATTAATGGCCAGGATCATTGACTTAGAAAGCAGGAGCACATGGATTTAAGCCTGGACATTCACTCCTGAGTTCAACTCTTTTTTATGTTTGTTTTATTTTGAATCAGAGTTTCACTTTGTAGTGCAGGCTAGCCTTGAACTCAAAGCAATCCTCTTGCCTCAGCCTCCCGAGGGCTGGGATTACTGGCCTCTACCAGCACACGTGGCTCTTCAACTCTTGACTTCTTTTGCCCTAGACATATTGATGAAGTAGTTGCAGGCCCTGGAGCTCAGTTCTATCCCCAGAAGTAGTGACTGAGTTGAAGGCAACCTCCTGGGCATCTTCTCGTACTATGACCACTGGATATTAGAACTGTGGAAGCCCTTAGAGATCACCAGGTCCAGCCACTGTCCTGCTGCTTCATACCAAGGGAAACTGAAGCTCAGAAAAGGTCACAGCCACAGTAACCTGGCAGAGGCTAGAAAGTAACCAAGATGGACCTAAAGTGCAGACAACAAGACCCACACTCCTAATGATGCAACCCAAATCTTAAGAATATGGGTTCTGGGGCCAGGGAGATGGCTCAGTAGAATAAGCACTTGCATGGCAAGCTCAAGGCCCTGGGTTCAATCCCCAGTTCCACCAAAAAAAGAAAAAAAAGAATATGGGTTCCGGTAGACCTCTCCAGGATGACCAAACATTTCCCAGGGGCCAGATGAGGGATGGGCCGAAGAGGTGTGCGTGGGCAGCTCTGGCCCTCAGCAGAGGCAGACAAGGTGAGGACATAAGTGGAAACGTTGACTGGCTTGTCTCCACGTGTGTGTATATGCAAGAGGAGAATACACACATGTAGCCCAGCTCTAAGGGGCTCCTCATTTAGTTGATAATGTGGCTGAGTGGACAAGCAGAGAGCTGTGTGGCCTCAGTTTTCTGGTGGGTTGGCCTTTTGGACAGTTTGTATGGTGGTGTGAATAGGTTTTCCTACCCTGAGACCTGTTCTCCCCTCTCTTCATATGTGACCTGGGGTACCTCACAGCACTGCTCTTGAGCCTCAGTTTCTTCCTTCATAAGTGGGATTGTAATACATACTTCTGGGGGTTCAAAGGGACCAGCATGGTTCCAGGGTGTGATAAGTAATAAAGCATAGCTGCTGTTGGTGTGATTTGTTGGAGGATTCTTTGGTGCAATTAGCAGTGTGGGCCTTGTGCTGGATCCTGAGCTAGTCCCTTCTTGGAACCTCAGTGCCCTCATCTGAAAAGGCATCATAGGCCCTGCCCCAAAGATTGTCCTGAAGATGACATGAAATGATGCATATAAAGCTCTTAATCTAGTGCTGCCACTCAATAAACCATTATCTCTAATAAGGCTAGCATTCATTGAGCATTTGTATTATGTCAGGCATAATTTATTAGTGGCCAAAACAGTTTTGTGATACCAGTACTTGAACTCGGGGAACACTGAGCTACATCCTCAGGTTTTTTTTCTCTTATATTTTATGTTGAGATAGTGTCTCACTAAGTTGCCCAGGCTAACCTGGAACTTTCGATTCTTCTACCTCACCCTCCCAAATTGCAGATTCCAGGCATGTACTACCACCCCCAATAATTTTCATTATTAACAGGTGCTGGAGATCAAACCAAGGGTTTTGTGTGTGCTAGACAACTTCTATACCACTGAGCTGTACTCCCAACCTTAATAATCTGTTTGCATTAGCAAAATTCTTTGTATTACACACAACAACTGCCTCATGTTCCCACAGTGAAATAGAGGCCTAGAGATCCAGGTGTGGTGATGCACACCTGTGATCCCAGCACTCAAGAAGCTGAGACACGAGGATTGCTGTGAATTCAAGGCCAGCCTGAGCTACACAGACCCTGTCTCAAAACATTAAAAAAAAAAAAAAAAAATTAAATAGGCCTAGAGCAGGGCAGTGACTTGTCCAAGGTCATACAGCCAGCTTCTCAGTGGCCTGTGTGGTTTGGTCCAGCTCAGCCTGCTGCAGAGCCACTGTTCCGTGACAGCCTCCTGCAGGGACACCCTCCTCCACCCCTCCTTTCCCCATTACTCTCCAGAGCCAGCAGCTCCTTGGAGCTTCAAGCTTCGTGAATGGCTTGGTTAAGCACTCAGCCGTTAAACGTTCATCTCTTACAATTTCAATCCAATTCCTATAAGTTTATTGGCAAGACGGGGTATATTAGAGCTGCCAAATTTAATATATCAAGTCCACATGTCTGAGATGCGGTTTCTCGGCAGTAATGGGGGAAGAGCGGTTTTATACGTTTTCATTTGGAATGACTGGCTGTTCCTGATCCCATTACAGCCCCTGACTTAATGGCTGTCATCCCTGTCTGCCGCAGGAGTGACTTTCTCCATCAACCTGCTTGGCTGCCTAGACTATCCAGGATGCTTGTTTGTCTGCATTTCCTCCTAGTCTCTCCCTCCCAAGATGCGTTCCCCCATCTGTCTGCTCTGTAAATCAGGTCCCAGCTTTATCCTTATTTGCTGCATCCCAGGAGTCTGTCTGTGCTTGTTAGGGAAGTCATTCCCTGTCCTCCTCTGGGCCTTAAAAGCCTTCTCTTTGAAGTAAAGACCAGACCACAAAGTAAAGGGCTGGACTAGCCTCAGCCTTCGCATGTCCCAGAGTAGACCTAGTCTTCCTCTGATCACATGGTACCAAACTGGAGGACTTGGGTTGGCTGTAAGAGATACAGAATAATTTCCCACTTGGGCAGCAGACCCGAGACAGGAGTGGTGGCTGTGATCACCATGGCTAAGGGGTAATATTCTTATTTCTCTCCAAGACTGACTGGGGACTTGTCACCCAAGTATTCAATAATCTGCTTGGGAAGCTGTTAGCACCTGCTGCCTGAGCCCAGCTTCCCTAAGCACTGAGCTGGCTGTGGAAGAGAAGACACCTGGCAGTGTGATTTTAGGGAAGCAGTGATCATGTCTGGTTACCAGCTGTGTGACCTTAGGGAGATCACTTCCTTTCTCTGAACCCCAGTGTCCCAAGGGAAAATGGGAATTAATTTGTTTATTCCATAATGCTTGATTGCTTACTCTGTATCGAGTACCATTTTAGGTGCTGGGCCTCCAGCCATAAGCAAAGCCAAAAGTAAGTACACCTGCCTTCATGGATTTATATTTTTGCTAGGGGAGAAAGATAATACACATAACAAGTAATCTCTTACTTCAGAGGAAAAATAAATCAAGGAATGGAGAAAGCTAAGGTGGAGGGTTCTGCGATTTTAAGCACAATAAAATGGTCATGGTAGATTACTGAGAAAGTGTCATTTGAGCAGATTGAAGGACTGAGTGCAGGGGTGGCAAGTGCCTGGGAGAAGCGTATCCAGGTCTAGGGGATGGCAGGTGCAAGCACCAGGAGGTGGCCATATGCTTGGCATAGTGAGGAGCAGAGTGGAGGCAACATGGCCTGCGTGGAGAGAACCAGGAGTAAGGAGGTCACAGGCCAGGCTTGTGGAAGGGGAAGAGGCTGAACAGAGAGTATAAAGTGGTATCCTCCTGGATACATGTTAGGGTACCCATTAAAGCCTGAGCATCTCCCACTTAGGTTCTATTTTATATTGTTTTATTTATTTGTTTTTGTGGTCCAGAGGATTGAATCTGGGCCCTTTTTACTAAGCTACATCCCCACCTCTTTAGTTTTGAGACTAAATTCACTAGGCTAGGCTTGAACTTGTGATCCTCTTGCCTCAACCTCTTAGAGTGCTGGGATTACTGGTATGTGCCACCATGCCCAGCTTGAGGTTCTAACTTGGTGTTTTTTGAGACAGGGTCGTGCTATGTAGTTCATGGTATCCTTGAAGTTGATATGTAGCCCAGGCTCGCCTTGAATTTGCAGTGATCCTCCTGCCTCAGCCTCCTAGAGTGCTGGGATTACAGACATGTGCTACAGTATCCAGCCCTTGAGGTTCTGGTTTGGTTTGGTGAGAGACAAGGTCTTGCTGTATAGTTCAGTCTGGCCTTGAACTCATTGTATAGCCCAGGCTGTTCTTAAACTCAAGATAGTCTTCCTGCCTTAGCCTCCCAAGTGCTGGAATTACAGATGTGCTTATAGCTTTTTCTCTGATGGTCTGACCAAGTGCTTATGGTTCCCTCTGGCAGCTGTGGACTTGGTACAGGTGGGCATGGGGAAGCGATACTTCTGTGACTACTGTGACCGCTCCTTCCAGGATAACCTCCACAACCGAAAGAAACACCTGAATGGGCTGCAACACCTCAAAGCCAAGAAGATGTGGTACGACATGTTCAGAGGTGAGTGCTCAGTAGTGGGACTCTTGGACCTGTGCTGTGATCTTTCTAATCATTAAACAGGGACCACTATAGTCAGCAACAGTCTGGGTCAGGGCTATTTGAAGATGGAGAGAGGAAGGAGTTGGGCACAGTGGCCCACACCTGTGATCTTGGCACTTGGGAGACTGAGGCAGGAGGATTGCAAGTATGAGGTCAGCCTGAGCTACTTAGTAAGACCCTGTCCCAAGGAGAAAGATAGAGGGGGCAGGGACAGGAAGAGGAAAAAAGAGATTGGGTCTCTAGCTCCAGGGCTGGAGGAACCCTCAGAGAGGGAGGTCAGAATAGGAGGTCCTCTCCCCAGTGATCTGGACCAAGGCTTTGTGCCACATACACAGTGGGCCCCTGTGGATACGATGGGCAGAAAGGGCCTCTGAGGAGTGATCCTTCGGTCACCAGCTGAAATACTGCTTGCAGGTCTACAGCCACTGTTCTGGGTGAGGGCATGCAAAAATTCAGGCATCCATCAGCAAAGCACTGGGTCTGGGAGCAGAGGGGAGAGGGTGGATTTGGTGAGGGAGAAGGACAGGACCCAAAATACTGAATAGATCCTTCAAGCCTATGAGGCCCCTTGCCGCACTGTCCCAAGGGGAAAGGACAGCTGGCAGCCTTGGAAGAGCATTAGGCAGAGGCCAGCATGGCCTATTCTCTACTCACTAGGAAGGACTCTGCTGCTGGATGAACAATGGAAGTAGCTACTGAAATACTGGTTAGAGGGAGGGATGAATAGCCCAGCTGTGAAGGGAGGAAGGGGGAAAGGGAGGGCTCCTAGGGGGAAAGGCTTCTCAGAGCAGGTGCAACTGGGGCAGTGAGCTGAGGTCTGAAGCATTCAGCATGGGGCCTGGCCCCCAAAGGCGGGGTTGCATATAGATGGGAGCTGAGCTACTGCACAGCTGTCCTTAGTTGTGTCCTGAGGCACAGCCAGGCAGAAACGGGGAGAGCTTGGCAGAGCAGCAGGAGTGGACTGGGAGCTCCTGGAATGAGCTGGGCAGAGCAGGACTACACAAGTTGGGTGCAGGATTCTAGGACGTGACCCAGAGTCTCAAAGGAAAGTACTTAATCCTAGCAGCCAAGAAGAGAGGAGAAGGAAGGGATAGGGTGTTCTCTGGTCTGAGATTCATTGCTTATGAGGGAGTTGGCATTTCTTTTTAATAAATTATTTATTGATTGATTGGTGGCACCAGGGATTGAACTCAGTACCTTGCACATGTCAGGCAGGCGCTTATGCCATTGAGCTGTATTCCCCAGCCCAGGGAGTTGGCATTTAAAGAGTATCTGGCATGGGCTGGGGGTTAAGCTCAGCAGCACAGGGTCTGCCTGGCAAGCACGAAGTCATGAGTTTGATTCCTGGTACCATAGTATCTGTCATGTGCTGTCACACGTCTAGTGCTTGCCATGGTTGTCCTGTGTTTCTCTCAGTGACTCCTGAACACGGTGGTTCTCAACCCTGGCTATAGGTTAGGATCACCTGGAGACCTTTAAATAAAAGACCATTAGCCAGGTGTGGTGTACACACTTGCAGTCCCAGATATTGGAAGGCTGCAGCACAGGCTTACTTGATCCCAGGAGTTCAGACTAGCCTGGGAACATAGCAAGACATTGGCCCAGAAAGGAAATACTCCTCTGGTGCCCTCCTCAGAGATAGGTTGGGATTTGTGCGGATGAGGTATGATACTTTTAAAGTTGTCCCAGATAATCCCCATTTCAGATGAGGAAACTGAGGCTCAGGCTCGAAAGTTGTTTAGCAAGGCAGGCAAAGCCTGTGGTGCAGTGGAGGCTTCTAGGTGCCTGAGGGGCCTGGCTTCAGGCAAAGGCTCCCAGCCCCCAAATCCAGTTGGGGCTGTGATCTGGCATCAGCCAGGCAAAGTGCATGTTGGTCTTTGTTCTTGGTCCCAGGCTCTCAGCAAAGCATGGCTCGGTCCTGGGGTCCAGAGCTCATGGACAAGGGCACCTTTGGGTGCTTATGTAAAAGATGAAAGGGCGGATGCCATAAGCCTTTCCTCAGGTCTCCTGTGTTCTTAGTGTCCTCTCACATCCCCACCACATTTAGTTCTTAGAACAGCTCTGCAAAGAAGGCTGGTGGTACAAGGTTCCCCACTTATAGGCAAAGATTTTAAAATCCAGACCAGTGGACCCACAGTTTCTAGCTGCTGGTGGCCAAGCTGGCGTATGAGCTCTTGCCACTTCTTCAGGAGGCTTCCCCCAGGATCCATGGGCTCATGTATTCAGCCAGTGCCCAGTGAATACTTAGCGTGGCCTTAGCTCTCAGATGGGCACTGAAGATTCAGAGGCAGGTAAGACAGGGCCTTTGTCTCCACTTACGACTCTGCGCTGGGCAGAGCCCTGATCCCATCTATGTTTCTGCATTCTGGCCTCTCCCTCCTGACTCTGATCACACTGGTCACTGCATATACTATCCTCTCTCCAGGCGTGCTCTTCCTGTTCTCAACTCTACCCCAAATCAGTAACTCCCATCTCAGAACTCAACTGAAGCAGCAAATCCTTGGGGCACCTTCCCTGTCCCCTGGCCAGGTCACGCTTTGGGCTACATGTTCAATGTTTATCCCATTTATATCCACATGGATTAGTGTGGCTGTGGACTGGAAGGAAGGACTGGCTCTGACTTGTTCTCCACTTAAATCCTCATCCTGGCAGAGTGCCTGGCACATAGGATGTGCTCAGTGAACCTCTGAAAGGTAAGTGTCTAGGTGACTGAGCAAACCTGGGGTGCCAAGGCCACTGTTAATTTTGGGAGATGAGGAAGAACTGACAGGTCAGACCACAAGGAGCCTTGAACACCAGGCAGAGGAGCAGGGGCCTCTTAGGGCAGGGCCTTGCTTGGGGCTTCTCAGTCCGGAGTGCATGTCAGAGGCACTGATGAACATTGAACTGTTCTGCTGCTATCCTGCTCCAACAAGTTGAAGCAGAATCTTAGAGGGGTGGGTCCAGGGGGGCCCATGTCTATTTTTATTGTTTACTTTTCATTAGTACAGGTTTCCATTATATAATAATTAAATTTATCATGAGGCATTGGTACATGTACCAAACACCTGTTAATTCCTTTTTTGTTTCCTGCCCCTCCTGCTCCTCTCTGCTTCTTTCCATTTACAAAAGCTCTTATTTTTTTCTTTCAGTTCTCCATGTTTTTCTTTCCTTCCTTCTTTCCTTCCATCTTTCCTTCCTTCCATCTTTCCTTCCTTCCTTGTTTCCTTCCTTGCTTCCTTCCTTATTTATTTTTTTGACAGTGTTTGTTGTATTGTAGAGTTGTCTTCAACTTAGTTGTTTGTTTAGACTACCAGATATGTGCATGCAAAATTGGAAGCAAAGGCCGCCGATGCAGCAAGGAACTAGGGGAGGAAGGTGGCCCATGCAGCTCGTCACAGACAACGCGGAGGCAATGTCTGCGAGCCAGCAAGTTCCGCGGTGGCTGCAGTGGGCCTGGTGCAACAGGGCTGTCTGGGCTTGAGCTCCCTGTGGTTCCCTGGTAGCAGACCTGCAGCCAGCGCGGGAGCGGTAGAGGCAGGAGCTCAGCTTGAGCCAGGGCAGGCCTAGCTGGGAGGGCCTCGCTGCCCAAGGAGGGAATTCTCTTCAGCAAGATAAGGAGAATGTGCAATCATCAGGGATGCAAAGTTATCATTGTTGAGTTTGACAATGCAGGGAAAACTACTATCCTTTACCAGTTTTCTATGAATGAAGTTGTCCATATATCCCTTACAATAGGAAGTAATGTAGAAGAGATAGTGATTAATAATACATTTCCTGATGTGGGATATCGGTGGCCAAGAATCTCTTCGCTCATCCTGGAACATTTACTATAATAACACAGAGTTTGTAATAGGTGTTGTGGACAATATGTATGCAATGTGTTATTATTGAAGACAGAGGATTTGTGGAACTAGAGAAGAATTCTACTAACTGCTGGCTCATGAGGACCTAAGATAAGTGGGACTGCTGATTTTTGCTAAAAATTGAAAAAAAAAAAAAGAATATATAAGAAATTAAGTAGAGAGAAAAAAATTAAGCATTAATTACTCTTTTTCATAGACTAGCAGAAATCCACAGTACAGTTATCCAAGCCATCCTGCTTATGTACATAGATGTATCACTTTCCTCTACTTCCCTTCCTATCCTCCTCATCTCAGTAATTCCTTCCTTTTGAACACATTCATTCCCATTTCACAGTATCTGTTGTACCTTTCAGATTTTTTTTTCCATAATTTTATTGAGAAACAAATAGCAATGAGACAGTTTCAAACCAAATTGGACAGTTTCAATAATTAACACATTGCATACATTCTTCCTAGTGGTTAATTGCTGAACAAGATGCAGACATGATATCCTATTTACAAACACCATTAGAACAAATCCCTCTATTCATTAAGAGAATGTAACTATATATCTATCCTAACCATTTTGAATACACAGATACAAAATGGACATTCATCTGCAGAAAAGTATAAAAACAAAGTACAAGAAGTAAAGCCATGCTGTTATGTTGAGCTGTAGGGGACTCAGGTCAACAATTTCTGACATTGCCAGTGAAGCGGAGGACCCAATACTATTATGGATTACTGGACTCTTTTTAGAATATTTTGCTGAGTTAGCACACCTATAGTATTCAAATAACGGAACTAAACAAGAAAAGGGGGTAAATATTTTTTGAGATAGTCTCATGTCATGGTCCAGGTTCATCTTGATCTCACTGTGTAGTCCAGGCTGGCCTTGAACTTGGAGTGATCCTCCTGCCTCAGCCTCCCAAGTGCTACAATTATAGGCATGTACCACAACATCTGGCTCCATGTCCTTTAATATGTAGTGATTTTGCACTCAGGAGGTTGAGGCAGGAGGATCTTTGTGAGTTCGAGACCAGACTGGACTATAAAATGAACTCAAGGCCATCCTGAACTGCAGAATAAGACCCTGTCTCAAAAAAACCAAACAATAACAGTGATTCTAAAGTGTAGGAGAATTGAGAACCATTGGCCAATAGCTGTGTGGTATGGAACTTCTCCTACATAGAGGGCTGCTGCTTCTCCCAGGAGCGGCAGCAAGGGCAGGGTATGGTAACTGTATTCCCAGTCTGATGAGCTCTTTGCTGACAGATAGCTCTTCTCTACTCTGCTGACCCTATCCATGGCTCTGTTAGGCCCCCTTGGAGTGAGTCCTTTGATAACCAACTTCTTACTTCAACAAATTCCCAACTCCTTCAGCCACTGGTGCCCTGCAGGGAGGCATCCCCATGGTATGGGCCATTTATTCAACCACCAGAAAATCAGCTGTCATATGGAAAGAATAGGGGCTTTAAAGTCTCACACATCCGGATTCAAGCCAGGGACTACCAGCTTCTTAAATGTGTTTCCTTGGGCAGGTCATTTCTCTGTGTGAACCTCAGTTTCCCTTCTGCAGAATGGGGTGTTAACACTGTACCATGGGCCTGGGAGTAGGAAATAAGATCCCATGCCATTTGTGGTCACCCACTTAGTCCCGGCTGCTCCTCATTGCCTTGGCGGATTCCATTGTCACTTTCTTTGTGATTCTAAAGTTCACCAGGGTTGGAAACCACAAGCATCTCCTACCAAGTGCTCTCCATTCATAATTTTATTAAATTTTCATAGCAGTTCTGCCAGGTGGGAATTTTCCTCCCATTTAGTTGGGCTTGGGGTGGGCTACCCAACTGGAGAAATTAAGCGCCCTGCCCAGGGTCCTATGTACCTGGGATTTGAGTTCAGGTTTCTTGGACTCAGAAGCTTATGGTCTTTCCTCTAACCCAGCTGCCTCTAAGAAAGGCAGTGGGACAAACATGCAACCCAGCCTAGCCTCTCCTCTCATCTGGTGTGGACAGAAGGGCTTCTGAATTCAGGTGTCTTCACAGATTAGGGCCTCTGGTGTCTTATTCACAGATTGTTTTTTCTTAAGGCAGGGGTCTGTTTGTGTTGTCCAGACTAGTATCTAACTCCTGGGCTCAAGCAATTGAACCTTAGCCTCCTGAGTGGCTGGTCCTGTAGCTATACAGCACTATACCAGCCTACTCGGAGCTTTTGACTCATTGGAACCTTACCTACCAAGATGAACACATTTTAAAAGCATGACTATTTGACAAAAATAAAGGCAGGAACAACTGGAGGAAACCAGAGTTATGGTTAATATCCAAAGTGATTTCTGGGAAGGCCTGTCCAGGGCCTGGCTGGTCTGGCTGTGAGCACCACAGCTGGTGACGGGAGATCAAACAGAGAGCAGGGACTGCAGTCTTGCCTGTGGTGCAATTCCTCAGCTCTGGAGTTGGCCTGTGGGCTTCTGGGCACCATTATATTTTTTTTAAGCTTTTTATTTTGACATATAGTTGTGCTTGCTTAATGACCAAAATAAAATCTGAGAAATGCATCTATTAGGTGATTTCATTATTGTGCAAACATCATACAATGTGTTTACATAAACTAAGATGGCTCAGCCATCACTAGTTGATACAAGCTTCTGGGTTCATCACTGTATATGCAGCCCATTATTGATCAAAATGTCATTATGTAAGCACATGACTACAACTATAGATTCACAGAATTTAGAGTCACACCAGAGGTCCCATGGAACCTGGATCAAAACAAAACAACATCTCAGCTAATTCCACTGTGCAGTCAAGATCAAGAATCTCTGACCTCAATCCTGACTCTTGTCTTTGGCTGGTCCTAGGGGAGTAGGAAGGTGGGGTTACCTGTAGCTTAGATCCCTCCTCTGCCCAGCACCTCCACCTTTTATTTACTCCATGATTAAAGAGCTCTTTCTTTTCTTGTGACTGAGCCCTCCTAACGTCCATGCCCCTTTGCCTCTGCCACCCTTGCAACCATCTGAACCAAGCCCTTTCCTCTTGCAGATGCAGCTGCCATCTTGCTGGATGAGGAAAACAAACGACCCTGCAGGAAGTTCCTGATGACAGGTAAAGTACTCTGCTCAGCTCAGATCCTTTGGGATCCAGCAATTCCTGTTTGGCATGTGTGCAATTCGCTGTCTCCTCAAACCCTGGGCATCACCCTGAACCTTCTTTTCAGTGAGCTGCCTGGTCAGTCATTGCCTCCCCAGGGTTGAGCCATCTGCCTTCCCAAGGGCTGGTACTCAGCTCCCTAGACATTTTTTTTTTTTTTTTAGGTTCCAAGGATTGAACTCAGGACCCTACACTTGCCAGGCAAGCATTTATTCTACTGAGCTATCTCCCCAGCCCAGCTCCCTAAACTTAGATTGTGATTTTATTGGCTCATTCAGAACAAACAAATAGTAGAGATTTTAAGTAAACTCAGGGAATAATAGAGTAATTGATTAAATTATCCTGGGAATCCAAAAATGGGCATCTGAAATGAATAGACACTTTTCAGATGAAGAGGTAAAAATAGAAAATAAATATATTTAAAAATGTTCAACATCACTGGTCATTTGAGAGATACAAATTAAAACAAAACTGAGATCCTGTCTCATTACAGAAAGAATGTGTATTATCAAGAAATCAACCGAGACAGGGCGTGGTGGTTCACACCTGTAATCCCAGCACTTGGGAAGCTGAAAACAGGAGGATCACTATGAGTCCAAGCTGTGTAGTGAGACCCTGTAGACCCTGTATTAAATATGTTAAAAAAAAAAAGAAAAGAAAAAAAAATCAATCAATAACAAATGCTAGTAGGACTGTGGAGAAAAAGGAATCCTTGTCCACTGTTGGTGGGAGTGTAGACTGGTGCAACCACTGTGGAAATCAGTGTGGAGATTCCTCAAAAAACTAAAACTAGAGGTTCCATTCCACCCAGCTATTCCCCTTCCAGGTATCTTCCTAAAAGAATTAAAAACATCATACCACATGATATATACATACCATGTTTATAGCAGCTAAGTCATGGAAACAACCCAAATGCCTGTCAACCTATGAACAGACAAAAAAATATGTGTTTTTTTTAATACAATGGGGTAGTTAGTACTCTGCCATAAAGGATAATTTTGGGACATATCTAGGAAAATGGATAGACCTTGATACCATACTATTATGTGAAATAAATCAGACCTACATGTTAAAATATTGTATGTTTTCTGTGGTGTGAGAAACTAAAAGTATAAGGACCAAAATGTATAATACATTTTGGTAAATGGGAAGATGTTCAAATTAGAAGGGGAATGGAGGTGAGGGGAGAATGAGAGAAGGGACTAGGATAAAAAGAATTGAAGGAAAAATGGAAACAGAACTTTTGTAAATAAGGAGGGAAAGAGAGGTTGAAGGGAGGTGAGGGGAATGGGAAAGAAAAAAGCAGTAAGGTACTGGTATATCACATACTGGTATAGCACACCCTATGATGAAGGTTACCATCATGTATATCTAAAATGTACCAATAAATTTTTAAAAAATAAATAAATTATCCTGGGAGCCCTTTCTCCTGTCACCTTCTTCCCTGAGGCAGAGCTTGGGGCAGTAACAGGTCTTATATGCTGAGAGAGTCCAGAACCAGAGGCAGGGATGTGTGGGTGTCCATGGCCTGTTCAGTACTTAAATCATAAAAATGAATATAATTCAAAGAACCAAAGACCTGAGTAAGTGAAGGAAGCAAAGACAGCCGAAATTAAAGGTAGGAGAAATAAGACAAGCCAGGAGAAAAGTGGGGCTGTTTGTTCTTTTTTTTTTTTTTTTAAATTTTATTTATTTATGTGTGTGTGTGTGTGTGTGTGTGTGTGTGTGTGTGTGTGGCCAGCTCAGCCCACCAGGGGGCGGGTTGGCTGGCATGTGGTGCTGGGGGATTGAACCGTGGTCCCTGTGCTTTGCTAAGCTTGTTCTAAGTAGGTGCTTTAGACCACTGAGCCATCTCACCAGCCCAAGGGCTGTTTGTTCTTGAGGTCCTATGTGCTGCTTTCCAAGGTCTGGCCCTGAGCTTCCTAACAGCTAAAGCCCAGAGGAAAGCCATGAGACTCACATGGTTTGCAAGGGAAGTTGGTACTGGGGAGAAGCACTGCTGCTGAGCTGGGTGCTGGGTGAGCAGCCATGCTGTCCTCAGGGATGTGCTGCCCCCAGAATGGCCACCAGGCCTGCACATCAGGGACTTCTCACAGACTTGGCCTTGATATGCGTATGTCACTGGTATGTTGTATGACCTAGGACACCACCAGTGTCCTGTAGTTGCTTTGCTTTGCTTTGCTTTGCTTTGCTTTGCTTTGCTTTGCTTTGCTTTGCTTTGCTTGCTTGCTTGCTGTGTTTGGTACAGGGTCTCACTATGCAGAACAGACTCGTATGATCCTCCTGTTTTCAGCCTCCCCAGCACAAGAGTGTGCCACTATGTCCCATCCTGGTGGCCCACTCAGTGCAGCCAAGGGTGGGGCTAGCATAGCATGTGGTACCAAGGATCAAACCCAGTCCTTGTGCTTGCCTAAGTCTGCTGAGCTATCTCGTCAGCCCAGTGTCCTGTAATTTCAAGACACATTTTGGTTTTCTTGGTTGAGATTGGAAAAACCACTGAGATTTTTATTCTTCTTTGGCAAAGCTGCCGCTAAGGCCTTTTGAGCACTAGTTCAGCTGCTCTTGTAAGCTTGGTAAGCAGGCCAGGTGGGGACGCAGCATAGGCAGTGGCCTAAAGTAGAGAAAGGAAGTGTGATTCTTACAGGAGTAAGAACTTGCACAGTTCATGAAGACAGGCAGAGAGGAGGGGGCTGGAGATAAGGGACAGCTGCAGGAGCTTGTGTTGCCTAGCCCTGGAAGCCTTTGGTTAGATGGAATTCTCAGTATTGGGGGCTGCTGCAATGAGTAGGACATGATGCTTGCTGAGGGTGGACAGGGCCTGACAGAGTCTAGTGTTTTCCTAGTGTTGCTACTCTGGGCCCTAAAATCATGCCCTTAAAACTCTAGGAGCCCTCATCAGGGTGCGCACAGCCCGTGCTGGCAAATAACTATGTTCTTGAGTGGCAAATAACTATGTCTTCCTGTTGTAGGCCAGTGTGACTTTGGCTCCAACTGCAGATTTTCTCATATGTCAGAGCAAGACCTGCAGGAACTGAGCATCCAGGTGGAGGGTATGTCAGCAGGGACTCTGGGTAGGGTGGGAATGGGGTCAGGGAGGGGGTGTAGGATCTGAGACCAGGGAAGCTGACCTGTACCTCTCCACCCCTCCCTTTTGAGTAGCCATCATGGAGAGTAGGCCAACAGCTGCCCAGGGCCTTGAGTTAGAGGTGAGTTCCCCAGCTGAAGAACTGGGCTGTGTCCCCAGGAGGTGAAGCATATATGATCTTCTATAGGACCACCTCAGCCCATCCAGCCCTGCTGCTGACCAAACAGCGGCTATTCCTGGATGGCCTCGCTCCCTCCTTCACTTACTCAGACAGATGCTTAGGAGTCTCTGCTTGACACTAGACAGACCTCCCACAATGCTTTGGGGACAGGGAATGAAAGAAACACTCTTCTTGCCTTCTGGATCCTCACAGCCTAGTGACTTCAGGGAGAGAAATTTCTGGTTCTACGGAAATGGGCATATCTACCTTTGAAAAATTCTCTGCTCACTTTCCCATAACAAATCCAGGAAGTTCGTACTGAGATGGTCTTTACTGATCTTCTCTAGCTCTTCACTGGACAGGTGAGGGAGTGCAGCTGCATGCAGGCCAAGACCTTCAGGTGAGCCCACTACAAGTGAGAGGCTGACTCTAGGTTCTAGGAAGCCACCACCACTCTTCTGTCATCATTAGAGAGCACATGCTGGGCAGCTAGGCCTTGATCCCCTCTGCCAAGCCAGACCCTGAGGGTACTGCATCCTCCCCTGGAGAGCTGAAGGCAATGAATCTGCAGCCCTGACACCCACACAGGGTTTCTAGGAGTTTTCCCAGAGCAGAGGCAAGACCTCATCAGAATAGCCAGCATGTCCTGGCAGTAGCAGCACTGTTCTTTGCTGGCCATGGACTCTTGGGGAATGGTTGGCTCCTGGTAGGGCGAACGTAGGCCTGTGACCCTGAGCTGGATACCATGTCTAGTGAAGGCATACAGGTGAGGCCCAAGGGAGCTAGCAATTTGGACACTTCTCACTCCAATAGATCTCCTGCAACCATGGCACATGGCTGGCCCTCTTGGAGGAAGTGTCCTGACCTGCCAAATGTGATTGTTGAGAAGATGAAGTAAGCCAGGCATGGTGATGCATACCTATAATCTAAGGACACTGGGAGGCTGAGGCAGGAGGATCACAAGTTCCAACCCATCTTGGGCAACTTAGAGCAAGGCCTTGTGTCAAAATAAAAATAATTGAAAAACATTTGGCAATGTAGTTAAGTACAGAGGCCCTGGACTCAGTCCTCATTACCACACAATGCACACACTCGCACACACATACAAGATGAGGTGAAATGATACCTGTGCTGTTAGCTCAGATCCTGGCCTAAGGGAGTGTTGACCCATGAGTTTAGATGGCCCAAGGCCGCATCACAGACCAACTTCTGACAGTCGGCTGCTCAGATCTGTCCATTCATTGCTTAGTTTTAGTTCATTGAGAAATTTTTTTTGTTGGGCAGTGTATGAGATGGAACTGAGGCCCCTTGCCTTGCCTGCTGTCAAAGACCTTGCAGGTCGCAGAACTGAAGCTTCATTCCTGTTCTGTAGCCGGGTTGCCTCCTGCACCCCAGATTTGGACCCCTCTGAGAGCCAGGTTCTGCAATACAGTCTTGTGTCCAGCTCCTCCAAGCTCGAGGGGGAAAGCAGTGTTTGACACTTTGAAAAGAAGCAGGATGAAGCTCAGAGTTCAGAGCTGAGGAGGTAGTGGCACAGGGGACATGCCAGTGGTGTTGCTGCAGTATTCCAGGGCCTGCCAGTTCTACTGCTTTGTGGGAGGCTGGACTTCAAGTTGACAGGATTGCTTTCCTCACCTTTATCTCCCTATCACCACAGAGGAGAGACGGGCCAGGGAGTGGCCACTGGAGACCCCTGAGCTCCCTGAGGGCCATGTGGAAGACTGGCTGGAGAAAAGAGCCAAGAGGCTGAGCTCCACCCCAAGCAGCAGGTACAGGGCCCAAGGCCCCCTCCTCCTGTACCCCCGAGCTGAGGATTCTTGGTGATCTTCCCAAACATCAGTACTCCTCACACACACTCAGAGCTCCCTGAGAGTGGGGCACATTGGAAGCTCTTAGATTCACAGTCCCTGGACAGAAGGGGTTTACCTTGAAGGTGCCTGTTCTCTGGCCCCCTGGCTTAGTAGCTCATCCTCTTATTGGAGTGTGGTGGCTAAAGGAGGGGCAGGTGGCCAGACAGATTTGACTCCACACCTCTAAGTCCACTGCTAGTGGCCAAACTCCCAATGTTCTAAGAAGCCTGTGTAGCTCCTACCCACTCTCCCCTCTAGGGCAACCTCAGAAGGGAAAACTGAGGCTTAAAGGGATATACCTGCCTAAATGCACATACTGTTAGGAAAGGCAGAGCACAGATGGGTAAGGGGTATGACGTCAAGGTCATTGTCCCACTGCCTCCCTAAGGGAAGGATCTAAAGCAGTCAGGATGCTCAAATTGGGCAAGAGCCCTTCAGCTCTTATATGAGGAACAAATAGGTCAGGGTAGGTCCCTTGGAGTATGGGCTGCCTGCATTCCAGGTCCTCCCTAGAGGCACAGAGGCAAGCAGGTGTTCTTGTAGCCACATAGCATCGTAGCCAAAAGCAAGGCCAGGGCTCCCCAGTGGGTAAGGGATGGACTCCAGAGTAGCATGTGATTGTATAAGTTGCCCTATTCTGGGTCTCCTCGCTTCCCATTTTACGATAGAATTTGAGATCCAGTTGATCTCTGTGGTGTGGCCTCATAGGATGGTAGCCTGGCTTTAGCTAAGGGGACCTGGTCCTAGTCTGTGGGATAAGAGATTCTCAGATTTCTGCTCTGCCAAGTGAAACTTGAGTTTCTTACCCCAGTGAAGAGATTACTAATTTTCTAGTTAACTACTTTGCCTTTCACCTTTATTTTAGACCCTTGCCCAGTGCTTGTTCCTTCACCTTAGAGGTACCTGGTAGCAATATGACTTAAATGTCAAAGTGTGGGCTGGGGTGTGGCTCAGTGCTAGAGGGATTCCCTAGCCTATGGTAGGCCCTGGCTTCAATCTCCAGCACTTAAAAAAAGCTGGCGTATGACATCCCTTCCCTGGACCAGTGTGAAGGAATGTGACTTTGACCATGTGGGTTGATCCTTTTGGGACCAGCCAGCATGCAGACTTTCAGGGCCTGAAGCCCAGGATCTTTTGGTCTGTGTGCTAGAGGACTAGGGCTGGTCATAGCCACCCAGAGAGCTCCCAGGGTCCTTTTGCTCCCTTATTTCGCCTTTCACATCACAGTACCAACCAGCATCTGAAACCCACCCTGGCTTGGGCCTCCCCTTCTGGCACCCTCTAAGGCATCTCCCACCTCAGCAAGGCCTCGACTCCACAGCCCAGCTGCCAGGGTCTGAGGGCACCTCCCTGCCCACCCACGTGGCTCATCGCTTGTATCTGGCCTGTGTGAATCACAGTAGACACTTGGCAGCTTCTTAGATGGGGTAGTCATTTATAGTTTGGGGGCACCCCAAGTACACTTTCTTCTGTTTGCTAATGTGGCCTTATCTCTGCACCTGTGCTTGGCAGAGACCCACTCTTCCTCTGAGTTTTAGCTAGGATATTTTCCTTCCAGCCTCATCTCCTCCTCCTGTCCTCAAGTGGGTGTGGGTGGGCCCAGGACATGGTGACTGCATGAGGATACGTTCTAGGGAGCAGAGTCCCCCGCCTGGAGGACTTATCTAGATGTTCATGCTATGGGCCCTTTGTGGGGACTGGTCTGGGGATCTCGGGAAGCCCCTGTTTCCTCCCTGTGGGGCACAGATGGCTGCCTGGCCCATCTGGGGCTTCAGCCTCCACAGGCAGAGCAGAAATCCCCGCCCCAGGAGCCAGGCCAACCTTCCTTGTAAACAGGGACACAGAGACTCCCTGAAGGCGCAGTATGCCCGCTCATCCCCTTGACAGACTGACCCTGAGGGATCAGCCAAGAGCAGACAGTGGTGCACGGTGGGAGGGCGCAGCCAGCCTCAGACGTGCGGACTAATCCCTGGCCAGGCTGTGCTTGTCCCTGCTTCCATTGTTGGCTCTTCTGATTGGGACTTTATCCCTCTTAATCTCCCCTGTGTACCCCTCTCTGGGCCAGCGCTACTGTTCATGCCCTTCCACCTCTATGACACTATTTCCTCTTGTTAAGGAGCATGTCTGGGAAAGAGCCAGAGAGCTATTTCTGTCCTCACGGACAGGGAGCTCAAGTCCTGCAAGAAGCCTTGGGGGGGGGGGTACGGGGGATGCGAGGAGATAGCTCAGTGGAATAAGCGCTTGCCTGGCAAGTGCAGGGGCCTGAGTTCAATCCCTGGTTCCGGAAAAAAAAAAAAAAAAAAAACCTGGGACAGCCAGCCACACATACCTAGGACCCCAGGTATGGGCTGCCAGCTTGGCAAGGTACCAGTGTCCATGAGCAGATTCAGGGAACACCCTTCTCCTGTCATGGCCCTCAGGGCAGACAAGGGCTTTGGGCTAAGCCTTGAACCCAAAGGAAGGGCTTGAAGCTCAGGGGCAGGGGCTCCTGTGATCAGAATCTCCCTGGGAGAGCCTACTGTCAGCAAGACTCCATTGAGAGCCCTGGCTTGGCTGGCCACCGGGGTACCCCCCTCCAGCAACTATGGAGCTTCTCCCACCCCACTACCTTCTCTGCGGCTGGTGGAGTTTATGAAATCTCCCCAGCCCATAAATCATGTTGAGAGCTACTCTCTGTGCTCTCCAGCAGGCAGCAAGCCATTGAACAGGGGATGTCCCTTTCCTCTCCTTGCAGGCTCCAGCAAGTCCTCAACTGTGTCCTGTCATCAAGCCTAGAGAGGGGCAGCTTGTGGATGCAGAAAGGCAAACTCTCCAGGCTGTTGACTCCAGCCCCAGTCCCTATCCCACCTCTACCTCCACCTCCACCTGAAGGCCCAAGGCCTGACCAGACCTCTCCTCTTTCTGCAGAGGGCTGACCACTGGGCCCCCAGATCAAGTCAGAAGCTGCCAGATCCTCACTTTTCCTTCAGGCTAGGGGAGGACTGGGGTGTGCCAGGAGCAGAAGGAACTAAAGGGACAGGTGGCAATGTCTGGATAGTATTGACTGTGTCACCTGACAAATGACTGACTCTTTGTACATCAGTTGCTTCATTTGCAAAATGGGGTTCACATGGGAATTCTTGAGGTTTCTCTAAGCCATAGTGTCTGTCCCAGAATAGTACCAAGCCGGGAAAAGCTCATAGCCTGTCTGTTCATTACTCAGTAGTGGGGGGGGACCTCTTGGTGCCAGGTCCAGCCTGGACACTGCCATACAGACTGGCCATTTTCCTACCCATGCCCTCTGCCTTCTGAGAACTCCAGGCCCAGTGGGGCAGAGATATGAGCCCCTAGGTGATTGCAAAGTGCTTTGTATCCGAGAAGGACACTGTGTCCTTCCCTAAAGTGGCCTGCGGGGGCTCAAGTCTGGAAGGGTCTGAACATGGAACATGAGGGAGGGAAGGGAAGGGCTACCTGTGTGCCTCCCTGGCCTCAGGCTACCTCCCTAGCCAGGGGGCTTAGGCTGGGCACAGATAGCACCTTTCCAAGGACAGTACTGCATTCAAATGGGCTCTGAGTTCAGGGTGGGGGCACTGTGGGGAGGTGAGTGGCAAGGAGAGGGAGTAGCGTGAGAAATGAGGCTTTTAAAAAATTTAGACCATATTTTTTTTTCTGATTTCAAAGGCTTGTGTGCTTGTAAAACTTTCTGAAAAGTATAAAGAAGTTAAAAAAAAAAAAATCACCCATAATTGTACCACTCAGAACCAGTATTAACATTTTGCTGTATCTTCCAGAGTTTTATGCATTTATATATGTTATATATCTTTAAACAAAAATAGTATCATGCTATATACATTATTTTATAAGCTGCTTTTTCTCCCTACTCACATAGTATGTCTTTCCTTATCAGTGCATATAAATTTGCCTTAATTTTTATACAGGCTGCATAGCATTCTCTGCTGTGGACGTGCATATGTATTTGATCAGTTCCCCACAAGTGGACACTAAATATTTCCATTCTTCTCAAGGCCATTCTTGTACCTCAGTCTCTGCCTATAATCCAGCTGTTTCCTTGGGCTGCTTTCCTAAAGGGAGGTTGCTGGCTCTAAGGGTCTACAGGTTTTCAAGGCCCTGCTTCCCAAAGGGCAGTTCAGACAGCTGACCTTCCCTGGTCAGGGTAGTGGGAAGGTGAGTTAGTTTTGGGTTGCACCCCAACCTGAGCCAGGGATGTGCCCCCATCCTAATCTTCTGCCTTCTCTTTCTCTCTAGGGGTGAAGCCCTCAGAGCCACAGTCTTCCAGTACCCTGTGGGCTGGCCGCCAGTCCAGGAGCTACCCCCCTCCCTGCGGGCACCCCCGCCAGGGGGATGGCCCCTACAACCCCGAGTGCAGTGGGGCTGAGGCCCCTACCCATGCTTAACTCCCACTGGTCATTGTCTCGTCTTTCACAATAAAACACCTGTTTGCACTAGGGAGGCCAAGCCCTTTCTGCTGTCCCATGGAGTGCTGAGACTGCAAGACTGACCTCCCCAGGGCTCAGCAGCCCCCGTGGAAGCTGCAGCCCCACTCACCATCCTAACCTCTTTCACAGGATGTCTTGAGAAGATGAGCAAGGAAACTCCCAGATGTTTATAAAGAAAGTTTGTCCCCATGGTGGTTAGAGCGTGTTTGCCCCTGCCGACATTCTCATGTCCATTCTGCAGCCATTGGTCAGGGGACACACAGGCCAGTGGGATTGGTCCTCTCCAGAGTGATGGGGCTTGCAGCGCTTCTCTCTCTAGGACCAGTAAAGACTCAGCCCAGCTGGGCAGAGGGTGTGCCAGTGTGGCTGTGGAGGTGCAGATGAGTGGAGGGGGACAGGCGGGGAGACTCTGAGCTTGGGAGAGTGGCTTGGCCACGTTTTTGGCACTGACGGCACTGGGCAGTGCCATCTCCCTGACCCAGGGAATGGCCCAGAGGCCCTCCCAAGGTCCCAATAGAGGAGCACCCTGGCTGGTGGGAGGCCACACAGGCTGCTCAGCCGCTGCTTACTCAGTTGGACTATAGTTCTTGGGGGGAATGCGGTCCTTGATCGTTGGGCCTAGGGTGGGGGGCCCAGAAGGTAGGACCACCTCATGTGCTCCATCCTCCATGCACCTTTGCCTTTCCTTAAAATCCCTGCTGGGGAGAACCTGAGGCCAGGTCACGTGCCTGTGGAGTTGCAGGCTTTTCACCTGTGAAGTAGCCAGGCTTCCACCCCAGTGGGTGCAGTGAGGTGGGAAAGGTTGGGTTTGGGTGTCTGAAGGATCAGAAAAAGGAACCCAGGAGGCGACAGCCTTGTGCCCTTTTCCAAGAGGAGGTTTTCTGTCCCCTGCCACCATTACCTTGTCTACCTATGGCTTTGTGGCCCTAGGCTGATGGCTGCCTTTCTCTGGACATAGGGACCACAGCAGGTACTGGATCGTGGGCGGTCCCTGTACAAATACCTCAGTTTCCCAAGGGGTCCCTGGATAAGTGGGAAGAAGAGCGCTACATACAGGCCAGGGTGGGGACGCAGGCAAGATGTAGGGAGCCAGGGACTGTCCTTGGGGCCACCACCAGGTCCTCCACAGCTCCATGCAAGCAAGGCCCGCTGGGCAAGATGGAGGTCACCAGACATCCAGGCCCTGAAGTATATGTGGAGGCCCAGGGAGCCAGCAGAGGGGGAGGGCTGCAGGTGGTGGTGGGTGTGGAGCAGCCTGGGCACCGCATATACCAGACAGGTGCCCGGTGGGGCCTATTTCATGCCGCTGCGCAGCACCTGGTTGGCCGCGATGAGCATGACGCTGATGATGAAGGCGATGGCGAAGGCGCAGATCAGACTCTTACGCACGCACGTCTGGCGGATCTGCTGGTTGGAGCAGGCTGTGGCCACCCACAGGGAATACCAGGGAGTGGAGAGAGACAGAGGACAACAAGGAAGTACTGGAGTCAGGCGCTGCCAGCACTTTGGTACATGGGCTTGACCCGTGAGGAACACCAGGATGGGGGCCTTGGGATGGACAGGGGCAAAGTTCCCCCATGCAAACCCCCAGTACACCCCCCTGCTCAAGCAGCTGAGCCTGCCGGTGGAGCCCCAGGGGCCAGTCACTCACTCTCCACATCCACGGGGCACTCCTCAGCCGTGCCCAGGTGACTCTCTTCTTCTGTCATGATGATGTTCTCTATGTCCTTCATGGACAAGTGCTCACAGAAGGTGTCGTAGAGCAACCGCTTCAGCTCATCCACTGTCAGCTTCTGCATGTCGCACTTGTGTGGGGTCGGGAAGCAGGTAGCGTTCTGGCCACCACTCCACCACAGTCCCCACCCAGCACCCTCTGCCATGCATGCAAGCATAGCAACAGCCCTCTCAATTCTAAAGTTCTGGACAGCACTCTCCATTCCTGGGAGAGTCCCTGACCCTTTCCTGCCTCTCTGAAGGAGCTCACAGCCTCCCAGAAGAGATTCATGCAGGGGACAAATACCTGGAATGACCACCCCCTCCCCAGGGTGGGCCTCAATATGTGCAGCCATGAGTCCCAGCCATCTGGGGCATACCTTCCAGAAGACCGTGTCAAAGTCAGTACCATGGAACTTCTCCGGGATACCCGAGGTGGAAAGCTTGGGTCCTAGGAGGGTCACAAACTCCTCAAAGTCTACCTGGCCGTCACCTAAGGTAGACATAGGTCCAATCAGTAGGTCAGGATGCAACCTAGCTGGGCAGGCAGCCCAAGGCCCAGAGGACCTGAGATGGAGTCCTGGCCCGTCTTGGGCTTACCATATGACCTCAGGCACTCTGGCCAAGTCATTTTCAGGGCCACCGAATGCTCCTAGATGAAATCCCACTGGGGAAAGTTAGGTGGGGAGCAGTAGGTGGTCCTCATGGGGCAGCACATGGGAGGCCTGTCCAGTTCCCTTAACCCTCCATGGCTCCCCAGCACTCCAGTACTGATGAGGGTGAGTATGCGGCCTGGACATTCTCCCTGTCATGCAGATAGGATACAAAGCTGCCACTGGCTGTCTTGATGGGGAAGAGACCACAAACAGGAGAAAGCAGAGAGTTGCCATCACTGGCCCTTATCAGTTTTTCCTTATTAAAATGCTAGGTGGGGCTGGGCATGTAGCTCAGCAGCATGGTGCCTGGCTGGCAAACGTGAGGCTGAGTTCAATTTCCATACCAAAAAAGTGAATAAATAAATAAAACAAAATGCTAGGTGGCAAGTATAACTAATTGATTTTGTTTTGGGTCATGGGGACTGGAATATTTATGATACTATTCATTATATCCTTTTCATTTTTCTATGCTTATTTATTTTGTGGTTTTAGGGATTGAGCACAGGGCTTTTGTACTGAGATATATCTCCTGCCATTATTATTATTATTATTATTATTATTATTATTATTATTTTGTTGGTTTTGAGACAGCGTCTCACTATGTATCCCAGACTGGCCTTGAACTCACGGTGGTCCTCTCTCCTCAACCTCTTGGGTGCTGGAATTTCAGGTGTGCACCACCATGCCCAGTGTAGCTTTTTATTTTAAGTTTTGAGACAGGGTCTAAGTGGCTAAACTGTCCAAGCCAGACTTGAACTTATGATCCTCCTATCTTAGTTTCTCAGAATGTGAGGACTACATGTGTATGCTACCACAGCCAGCTTTCTGTTTTGTTTTATTTGACATAGGGTCTTGCTATGTAGCTCAAATTGGCCTCAAACTCATGATCTTCCTGTCCTAGTCTCCCAAGTGCTGGGATTACAGGCAGGTACCTCCATCCTCCACTATTTTTTTCCCTATTTTAATGTTTCAGACTACAGAGTGAAGCATCCTTTCACTGGCTAGAGCTGTCATTCCCTATTTGGCCTCAATTCTCCAGGTTGAGAAATGGGGCCGTACTTACCACTGGCTTTGAGGCAGCTTGAAGTGGGATGGGCAAGAAGCCCAGGGTGGGCTCTGCCTCAGTGGCTCAGATCCCAGATTCTGCCCCACCCAGGTGGTCCAAGTGACAGGTGAGTAAACTGAGGCAGGGGGCTCACCGTCCATGTCCAGCCGCTGGATGATAACCTCTAGCTCCACCTCATTGGGCATGTAGCCCAGGGAACGCATGGCCGTGCCCAGCTCCTGCTTGGAGATGAAGCCATTACCATCCCGGTCAAACACTTTGAAGGCCTCGCGGATTTCTGTGGGGGGAGCAGAACAGACTGAGACCTTAGCCCTGTCCCCAACATTCTCCTTTCCAGACCACAGGATCTGAGAGTCTAACCCTGAGGCTGCACACCCAGGAAAGCAGTCATAGTGTAGTCCCAGTGCTTCCAGAGGACCTTAGCCTGGCTAGGCGACCTGTGAAGGTGCACTTGGCCTGAGGCAGTGGCGGCCTGCCAGGCTCCCACAGCCTCTCTTGGCATGCTCACAACGACCCCTTGTGGTGGGTGCAAGAAGGACACTGGCCCCACCAGGCCAAGAGAGCTGGTGGAGTGAGACTCCCCGACTCCCACTCCTTCCAGGCCTCCAGGCTCCACACACTCATCTCTATCCCACTGGTCTTCCCATGCTCCAGGTCCTTAACACTGGTCAGCATTCACTAATGGCCACGTGAAGCAGCAGCAGCTCCAGCCAATGGGCTGACAACTGGGTACAGATTCCTCCCCCCCCCCACGGTTTGGGGGAAGATAGAGATGGGGTCCCGGCAGGCCCAGGCTGGGTCAGATGCAAGGGCTGCCTCTCTATGGTATGGAGAGGAAGACTGAGGCCTGAGGACCCGGGTGACTCAGGTGTGGAGCAACACACAGCTGGGACCTTGGGACCAAGCCACTCAAAGCATGTCCTTGGGCAGCCTCAGTATCATCTACAGCAAAATGGGCAGAATGGTGGAGATGACAAAGAGGGCTGGGAACTGTCAAGGGGTCCTTTGCTCTACCTTGTTTCTCTGTTGCTGTCCCTTAATTAGTGCAGCCCCATCCTGACCCAAACAGCATTTCCTTCTTAGGTCACAGATCTCAGCCCTCTAGCTTAGCTACCTATGGGTCTCCTTGCTCCCAGAGTGGGGATTTCTGCAAGCAAGAGACAAGGGTTGAGAGAAACACAGGCAGAGAGGTGGGAGAGAGAGAGAGAGAGAGAGAGAGAGAGAGAGAGAGAGAGAGAGAGAGAGATATGCACACACAAATGTGTAGACACCCCAAACTAAGGTAAAGATAAGCTAGACAGCCATCCTGGCTCAGAAGAGGTCAGAAGAGGTGAAGGCTACTACTGGTCAGGCTGGCCCAGTCCTGGCTCTAGGGGCCTGTGGGCTTTGAAAATGCAGCCAGGATCCTACACTCTTATCTTTGGAGGAAACAGGAGCCAACCACAGAACCAGGACCACAGCAAGGTGACTCAGCTGAGGACCCCGACTCCCAGCAGGCTCTCCCCACCTGTCGTCCGCATTCAAGGTCCGAGGGCAGTGTTGCTTATAGGCTGAGGCAGACACTGGGCTGTCCCTGAGCCCTCTGAGCCCCCAGGCTTGTCCCAGACAATGCCTGAGACTATGGTTCCCTAACCAGTGGCCCTTGGGGCAGGGAAGCAGCAGCCTGGGAAGTCACCAAGCCCAGGCTTTCTGCAAAGCCCAGACACTGAGAAATCCAGGCCAACTCCCACCTAGCATTTTCCTGAGCCACCAAGGAAATGAGCTCCCCATGA